GTGTGTGTGTGTGTGTGTGTGTGTGTGCGTGTGTGTGTGTGTGCAGTAATCAGTTGTGTAATGTCGGTGTGAATGTCACGCAGCACACTTATGCCTGTCATTATGTTTTATTGAAAGCATGTGAGTTCAGCAGCTACAGGTGCATCAGAAGCTTTATTGAAGCTTTGCATTCATAAAATCCTTCAAAAATACTTTATCCAACGAAGATCAGTTTCCTGAATGTCTCTGCCGTACAGAACACAGAGATCACAGGAGAGTGAAGGAGTGTGTGTTTCTATTGATCCGCGTTGAGAGCTGTTAATGGTGATCATGTGACCTCATTCTGGAATCTTCTGCTGTTACTGTAATTCCACCAGACTAGTAGATTTGAGATGACCAAGATTACAAATCCAGAAGGAGGATTTTGGATAGATATTGGACATTAGACATTGTAATCTGTTGATGGGGTCTGGCTTTGGTGTTTATTATGAATTTCATGAGTTTTAATGAGCAAGTTTGGCTTTGGTCGTTTGTTTGTCCTGTTTCATAGACTGAGATGACCGCATCATCCTCCTGCGCTTCCTTGTGTGTTCAGTACTGTGTGTGTGTGTGTGTGTTAGGGCTGGGCGATATAGCTAAAAAATGTATCAACGGTATAATGTTTCATATCATTCGGTATCGATAATTATTGACATTTTTTAAAACAAAGAGCAATAGAAAAAACTTTTAAATTTAACCACTGTATTTTTAAATTAACCCAATTTATTGAGACAACCAACAAATATTTTTAGTTTTAACTGTCAAACACAAAATAAAAATTAAACAAATATCAAATTTCTAATGTTTTATATGCAGATTAAATAGGTCTGAAGGAATCTTTTGGTTTGTCTCCCGAGGATACAGGAGGGCGCAATGAGCAAAATAATGCAGCACATTAAATTGCCATGCAAAGGAAATAACTGTCTATAAAACAACGTGCATTACGTCTAAATTAACTCGTATAAATCAAACATAATTTCGTAAATTGCATAAACAATTATGAACAAAACAGCATCATGTATTTATGCATTGCTTAATACAAAGAGCCGAATCGGCCATCACGCAGATTGCATTAAAAAAATATAAGATGCAGTGAAAATAAATAAACCTCCACAAATTTGTGACGTGTTTTCTAAAAGTTTAAACTGTTTTAACTTTGCATGGCTTTCTATACATCTCTTGTGAGACGCGAGAGCAGCAGTCATAATTTGTCCGTCTAGAAAATGCGCTGAATATGCGTTCTGTGTGAATGGCTTGGTTTCGGTTTTAACCTAATCAAGATCTTCTACGCATTGAGCTACTATATTTCTCTAATATTCTGAATGAATAACGCAGCAACTGCACGTCTTGTGGGCTAGACTTATATAACATTAAAATGCAACAACGTCACTTACATCTAGTGGTCGACAGATGTATCGCCAAGGCCATATTTATTTATTTGTGAAAAAAACTTTGTCATCTAAAGTATAAGTATGTTTATTTAACACATTTATTTTTTTAATACATTTTCAAATGATTTAACATTTCTTAAATATTAATTAAAATAAATAAAATTATATCGGCCATCGGCCACCCTGCTTTCCAAGATATCGGCATCGGCTGTCAAAAAACCCATATCGGTCGACCACTACTTGCATCATTATCACCGCATCTCGCGCTCCACTAATGATGCTCCCAGATGCACATCTAACATTTGATTGCACTATTTTTGCATTCAAATGCAAATGTTTATTTTAAATTCGACTAATATTAATTTTTTTATTCACAATCTCCTCATCACCGGCAGGCACAGCACCCATTTCAGCATGTGTTCGTGTTTGTGTGTGTGCTGTCTGTGTCACTCATAGCACCTGCCTATATCGTGCGCTATATCGAAAAAATTTTCTATCGATATCGAAGAAGGTGTACCGTCGATAAATATCGATACCGTTTTATCGACCAGGCCTAGTGTGTGTGTGTGTGTGTGTGTGTTCACTACTGTGTGTGTGTGTCCACTAGAGCCCGACCGATATGGGTTTTTTGGGGGCGATACCGATATTAGGGGGGTAAACAAAGGCCGATATCGATATATCAGCCGATATTCTTTGTGTATATTATAGTACAGTACCAGTCAAAAGTTTGGACACTTTCCCATTCGTGTGTCCAAACATTTGAGTGGTACTATATATAGAATACAGTATATACATAAACATAATATATATATATACATAAACACATTTTTTGACATGATCACCATCAAATGTGGTGATCAAACACTTATAATGACGTGACAAAGATACGTAATGGAG